AGAGGGAGGGAGAGAGAGAGAGAGGGAGGGAGGGAGGGAGAAAAATAAAATGAAGATGTATGGTAGAGTTTGTAGTAGAGTTGTGTATAATGGAGATGTACAAGATAGTTTTACACATATATAGTTATTTTCTTGTATGTTTGTTTTTAGGTAACAACAGTCCCATGTGGTACATACCGGGTATTGATGAAGCACTCCAGCTGATTAATCAATATAATCCTCACAATAATAATGATATTGAATTGATATCTGGTAAGTATAATATTTAAAAATCCAATTTTGATCGGAATCAGCTCAAACTTCCTACACAACATGAGTACATGTATATGCATCAGAAAATGTAATAAAAATGAAAAATGCTCACCTTGTCATTTTTGATGAAATTTGGCCAACAACCCTGTACTGTAGTACAGGGACTTTGGCCCAATTTTTGAATAACTTTAAAAATTCATAAAAAAATCCATATTTGATTGGAATCAGCTCAAACTTTCTACGCAACATAAGTACATGTATATGCATCAGAAACTGTAATAAAAATGGAGAATTCTCAATTTGTCATTTTTGATGAAATATAATCAACGACCCTGTACTATAGTACAGTGTAGGAGGGAACTGAGCCCTTAAATAAACAATTTTTTTTTACAAAATAGATATAACACAGGGATAAATAGCAGGTTAATAAATGAGATAATAATAACGGAAATAAGTGATAGAAAAATAATAAGATAATAAGATAAAATGAATAGGTTAGGTTAGGGTAAGACGAGCTTCTGAGATAGCTTTGCAGAAATCGTTTGAATCGAATGATCTCACTCTTGATCGTGATCCTCGTAAGCACCTGATTGCTGCCTTGAGAATAGCGAAAGAGTATCGGCAGTGAATCAGGTTAATGGTGACACTATAGGACCTCTGAAACTTCTCTGAGTGAAGTGTTGCTAGGCGCTTAATAAACAGAGCTAACACAGGGCCAAATCCCCCAGAAGTTGAAAAGACCAGAGGTGAGAAGCAGCCACAGGGACTTTGGCCCAATTTTTGAGTAACTTTTAAAATTCATAAAAAATTCAATTTTGATCGGAATCAGCTCAAACTTTCTATGCAACATAAGTACATGTATATGCATCAAAAAATGTAATAAAAATGGAAAATTCTCACCTTTTCATTTTTGACGAAATTTGGCCAACGACCCTGTACTATAGTACAGGGACTTTTTGTCCAATTTTTGAGCAAATAAAAAAATTTTTTTTAAATCCAATTTTGATTCGAATAACCTCAAACTTTCTACGCAACATAAGTACATCTATATGCATCAGAAAATGTAATAAAAATGGAGAATTCTCACCTTTTCATTTTTGATGAAATTTGGCCAATGACCCTGTACTATAGTACAGGGACTTTGGCCCGATTTTTGTGTAACTTTAAAAATTCGTAAAAAATCCATATTTGATGGGAATCAGCTCAAACTTTCTACGCAACATAAGTACATGTATATGCATCAGAAAATGTAATAAAAATGAAGAATTCTCTCTTAGTCATTTTTGACCAAATGTCCTGGTACTATAGTCCAGGAACTTTAGCCAAATGGTAACTGAAGGGTTAAAATTAAATTGTGAAGTAAGCTTATAAATTAAGTAAGCAATGAAATTCCATGAATTACTATGTAGTAAGTAAACCAGATACTCTTTATCACTAGTATCACTTTCCTTTAATAGTACACACCCAATGAGTAACTAATAATGATCATTATATAGCTTTATTGTCTACATGTACATGTACACATCCTGGCCGGCCAGCTCTTAGTTCACATGAAAGATGTGGTCACTGCCAAGTTCCATTATTTCATGTAGTATAAATATTTCTACATATTTACAAACAAAATGACTTTAATTACACATTGTAACACGTTTCAGTTTCACAATTAAACCTTTCATCTTAACATTATTATTAAACATTTCCGGGTACTATAGTACATGTATATTTATATCTATTATTATTATTATTATTATTATTATTATTATTATTATTATTGTTATTTTTGTATGTAGCATTTGGTAATCCTCCTAGAGTTCCTGATGTTGTTCAAGACGTTATAATGACTCACGGGATATTCTGGCAGTATCCATACCACTTACCTGAGCATGGATTGTGTATGTTACCATTGAATCTCATTCCTTACGTTATACTGTATCATTGTATTATTATATACTGTAGCTCCTGTTGAAAGCAGTGGGACTCAAGGGTCAAAGTATTTCACTACAACAGAAGACTAGTATGTACATGTATATGTACAATGTACATATAACCCTCCTTCTCTCTCTCTCTCTCTCTCTCTCTCTCTCTCTCACTCTCCCCCCCCCCCCTCTCTCTCCTTTTCTTCCATTATATTAGTCTACTAGTTCTTGGTATGGATCATTATGGTAGTTCCTCTTGGAAGTTGATACAAGAGAAGCTTTTACCCACTAAAACCACAAAACAGGTCAGTCTGGTTCCTTAATGCCTCTGGTATGCCAATAGTAATTATGAGGTGGTGTCATATTTCTGTAGCTTCACTTACGTGTTAAGAATTTAACATCAAAAAGGACAAAGCAGGACAATGTTATCAAGGTATATGAGGAATGCATGTACTTGTACATAATATGGTGGGGGCTCCTTTCTCTCTTTTGTCTTCGCTCTCCCCCTCCTCTCTCTCTCCCCTCTCTCTCTCTCTCCCCTCTCTCTCATTTCCCTAGTATTACAAGAGAACTGGCGAAATTAAGATCCCATTTGACAAAGATGCCATTGATCCATACTTGTTCACTAGACTACCACAATGGATAATTGTACGTACATGTACATGTACATATACATGTACATATACATGTGTACATGCAACTAAAGTATTAGATCATGATATGTCATGTACATGTACATGTGATATTGATAGTTTAGTATTAATATTATAAATATTAAATACAAATAACTTTTCCTGTAGAAGTATCACTTAAAGAGAGAGCAGGTTGAGTATGAGGAGAGAGAAAAGAAAGAAAAGAGAAAAGAAGAGCTAAAGAAGATAGCGACCACTTACAACCTCCTCTCATCCTCTTCTTCCTCCTCCTCCTGCCCTCCCTCCTCCTCCTCCTCCTCCTCCTCTCCTGGTGGGAGTAAAAGAAACCTTAAAGACGACTTGGAATCAGTTGCACCCTCAAAGACTCTCAAGAAAGGGAAGAAGAGAATGAGGCTCTCCCTCGGGCCCATAGAGACACAGTCAGAGACAAAGACTGGATGTAAAGGTGATTATAGGCAGCTCCTATACATGGCTGGACTGGAAGTAAGTTTAACTGGAAAAAAATCATGAGTACATTCATGTACATGTACACATGTATGTACATTCATGTACATGTATCTTATTACAGGGTTCTGATCCAGCAGCTCGCTATGCTTTTAACTATCTAACAGAAGTAAAGGTAATACATTCTACACATACATGTATGTACATGTACATGTACATATACATGTACAGAATGTGTGTATGTACTACAAACACAGACATACCTTTAATTAACACACGCTAGTTAAAGTCAGCCAATTATAGCATTCATTTACAGTGTTGAGTAATAGAATTAGCAGTGACTATTGATAAAAGTTTGTATCATGTACATGTACATGTACATGTTGCTTGCTATACAGTTATGCAATATTATTATTTTGACATTATTATTATTATCCTGTCGGACTATACAACCTCAAACCTTATGACTCCATTGTTCTCATACTTGGAATATTTCTATAATCAATGACTGTAAATTGCATAATTCGTGTTCATTTAATGACATTTCATCACATTTCATTGTTAATGGAATTTTTATGTGTAATCTTAGGCAATGACAATGAGCTCACCTGAAAATTACAACACTTTTTTAAAACTGTTGATCACAGCTCGCAAGAGGGAATGGTCACCAGGAAAGGTATTTATTATTAATAATATTATTATTATTAAAATAATAACTTCTTTAACTGTTTTTTTATTACTTAATTTTCTTGTTTCATTCTCTTTTCCCTGTAGTTGTATATGGCAGTAAAGCCTGTGTTGCAGCAGTGGCCCTACCTACTGAAGCTGTTCATGGCATTCCTTGATCCCAAAGATGCTGTTCAAGCTAAAGTGGTTAAGCCTTTAGTTACTTTAAGATATTTTAGCCTCTTCTCCATAGATAGCTGATAAAATTGACTTTGAGCAAGTGAAGACTTTCAGCAGAAATTTACAAGTAAGGATTAATGAAATTATGTTAATGTATAGTCATTAAACTATGCCTGTATTTGGTATGATTTAATTAAGGATCAATATGGAGATAGTCCACTCCAATTGAGTGATATTTTATCAAAATTACGATCACTTGAGGCTGCAGATGATACTAGGAAAAACCAGGTGAAGGAATACTAATCATTTCCTTCATTTTTCTTTCTTAATTCTCTTTTGGTACATGTACTTGTACACGTGTGTAGATTGTATTAGAGCTAAATGAAATGATGTTATCACACGATGAACTTCTTAGTGACCTAAGGCACTTTGTATCAGGTGTACTACCAGCAAAAAGAATTACAGAAAAGTTAGCTCATCCAATTCAGACACACACACACACATGTTTAAATAGTATACTCTTACATTCAAGAGTATGATTATGAATGGATTCTGTTTTGGTCACTTTGTAGGTCTCAGAATGACTTTGAAGAAGTCAACATTTCCTCATCAGATCAAAAACAAGTAAGTTAATTAACACTATAGTTAATATTCACTCTTACTATAATTGCATGTCTGCTGTAGGCTGGTGATGATTTTGAGGAAGTCAGCGTACCCCACGATTGGGAAGGCTCTTCTTCTCAACGTATAACTAGTTCTCCTTAATGAAGTGTAGCTCATATGCTCATCTCTTTATTTTATATCATCACTTAATGCATGAAACTTTTTATAATAATCCTCTCTCAATCCCTCACAAAGTAATTCGTCAACAATGTATGCCATGCTGGTATTGTTAGTTTATAATTATACCAAACTCCTCCAATTCTTTGTTGATTACCTACCGATTGTTTGTATGTCATATCCTATATATATATATATATTTATTATTACATGCTGGCAACGTTGCTGTGTTTATTATGAAGATTCAGTAACAGAAGTAGATATAATGTTTCCTTGAAGCCAGAGGGCAGTACAAAGTACATACATATTTTTGAAAAGGTACATGTATATACATGTACTTGCAAGCAGCACCATGCACAGACTTTGGAGGCTATGCTAGTTTAAGTTTGTGCTTAAGTACAAGCACCAAGTCCTTGGCCCCATGCCAGCTATGTACACCATGTTTACTGACCATGCATCCATTCACACATTCATCCTAGATTGTATCACTTTTCAATTTTTGTAGTATGACGTATTGTAACGCGATAGCTATACCAAGAAGGATTCTAACACTGTTGTGTACATAGATACCTTATTATGCTTTTTCATTTGTATGAGCAATTCCTGCATTTGTTGTGGTCCTGTGTAGGAGAAATGCTTTGAATTTTCATTCATTAATGTAATTGGATAGTTCGAGTTAAGCTCAAGGTTTTCTGCATTCCATATGCAATTTTACTATGCCAATGCAAACATATAAGCATTGAGTAAAGTATCTGTTAGTCTAAGAAAGCAGTGAGAATGAAAGTCAGTGTCATTCTGGCTCTTTGTGCTGGAGCTGGTATGATCCTTGGGCTCCTTTCAGGATCAGGAGCAGTGGCTCTGATAATTTATTACTTTTTGCATCTAGAGAAACACTCTCCTTCACATATGAATGCTCAAACTACCCAGTCTCCTGCTACTCTGTTTTCATCATCTTATTTGGCAACATCAAGTGTAGTTATTTTGCCATCAACCAGCTCTCAAGCCATTTCCTCAGTAAGCAGTTCTACTGTCCCTTCATCATCATATACTTCTATTCATATGTCACCTAGTCCAACTGTATCTCAAGGTATATACATAGACACAATATGTATTGATAATAGATTGATTCTTTGTAGGTTTTTGTGTCAGTGAGACTATAGTTAATGATCGTGGTACATTTCAGTGGCCAGTAACACCTGTTGGATCATTAGCTAACCTTCCTTGTCCTCATGGTCCTATTGGAGCTAGAGCTATTAGACAGTGTAGGAGGAATGGTGTATGGGACACTCATGATATATCAAACTGTGCTGATCCTGGGATTACTGCTGCATTTGTTTCTCTGGCTAGGGTATGCCCAGTACATGTTCACTAATTTTCATTAAATTTGTTTTTGCTTCCTTTATAGACTAATATCACTATTAATAATGTCGTTTTTGTCTGTCAAGAACTTTCGGCATTAATATCTCAAGTAACTGAACCTGGCAATCAAAATTCAAACAATTTGATCAGTACGTCATTTCTACTAAACAAGATAGCCTTGTTATTTTCTGATCCTGGCATCACTTTTGAATTGTTTTCAACAGAATTTATAACAGTAAGGGCCTGGTTTATGGAATCATAAATTTTCAAACTTTCATTATAATATTTTATATTATAATAGATAATAATTGAGAGTGTTGTACAGGTACTGGATGGAGTTAGTTATTGGCCTCCAATTGTATTAGGAGCACAATCTAATGTGTAAGTCTATCATAATGTATATTCACTTTTCTATGAATGTATATAATTGTTATGCATAGTATTGTCCAGTCATTTGAAAGGATAGTGGATGCATTGATAAGTCAAGAGAACTTTACTAACTTGACAATCATTGAAACTGGCATTGCATTCCAGGGACTAAGAGTAAGATCAAGTGATGCATTAATTGTATGATTATGTTGTATGGCTTACTGATTACAGATAGAGAGGACTGGATTTATTGGCATCACTTTTATTGGGTCATCAATAAGTAAGAGAAGCTACATGTATAATATATACAGTATATGTACTTTCATTCATGCTTAATGATAATATTTTTAGATGGGTCGTTATCTATCAATTTGGAATCAAGGAGTAACAGGACACAAGAATCAGGATTTTATTTACCAGGCAGCATTAGGGATGCAACCAACAGAGATGATATAATACTTTCATTCCTATTGTACAATCGTTCAACTTTGTTTCCAATTTGTGACGTTCCATCGGATACTGTTGTAGGATCAACAGTAATTGGTGCTAGTGTTGGTGGTATTCCTGATGGAACCGTTCTACCTGACAATGTCACAATAAACTTCACAATAACACAAGAAGTACAGAAAGAATATTTGGTAGAAAATAATTAGTGTTTTCAAAATTTCTTTTTTTAGAATGCTACCAATCACCGCTGTGTATATTGGGATTTCTCTGCATCAGGTATTATGTATAAATCCTAAGATTTCATTGACTGTCTGTTTATAAAGGAGGCAGAGGAAACTGGAGTGTTTCTGGCTGCACTACTCATGTCATCAATATAAGCTATGTGACTTGTGTTTGTAATCACTTGACTAGCTTTGCTTGTCTTGTGGTAAGTGACCCCTTGCATTGCAGCAGCAACCTTGATTTGATAATTAATTTTTTTTAATATTATTTTTACAGGATGTAGGAATAAGAGATGGTTCCACCCCACCAACTCCTGTTCAACATGCTCTGGAAGCTATTACAATTATTGGTAGCATCCTATCACTGCTGGGACTAGCACTCACAATTATAACATTAATCATTTTCAAGTAGGCAATGTAATCATGTTTGTACATTTTCATCAAATATTTACAGGAAATTCAGAAAAAGAGATGTCAGCAAGTTTCATGTTCAACTCTGTCTCTCGTTGATTTTCATGCTAATAGTATTTGTTGTTGGTATTGATAGAGTATCAGTGAGAGCTGGTTGTATAACAGTTGGTGTTCTCATTCATTACTTTGCTCTTGTATCATGGATGTGGATGGGAGCTGAGGCTGTACTAATGTTTCAGAAACTAGTCATTGTATTCTCAACCATAACATGGAAATATATTCTGACTGTCTCTCTTGTATGCTGGGGTAAGAACTGAAAAATAGCACCTCTATTATGTTCATAATACAATTTGCAGGTATTCCATTACTGCCTCTGACTATAACAGTTTCAATTGATCCAAACTTTTATGTGTTTGATAATTCTACTGATCAAATTAACTTGTAAGCTCTTTCCCTATGCCATTATCCTGTTTTTAAAGTTTATTATTTCTAGCTGCTTCATTGGAGAGATGGTGCCATTTGTAACTGCCTTCCTGATTCCTGTATTCCTCATCCTCCTATTCAACCTTGTCGTCTTTGCTATTATCATTGTTGTGGTGATCAAACACAACGTGGACAGGAATAGACGATTAGGAAGACCCTCCATGACAACCAAAGAAGCTATCAAGATGTTAATACCATTAACTGGCGTAATGCTATTGTGTGGTTTGACATGGATCTTTGGTATCTTCACTTTTATTTCTGAGCCTGGAGTCTCTTACACTGTCCAGTTCTTATTTGCTTTCTTCAATGCTTTTCAAGGATTTTTTATATTTTTGTTTTTCGTTATTTTTAGTGGTGAATCCAGAGATGCTTGGAATGCACTTTTCTGCCAAGAAAAGAAGACAAATTCTTCAGCGTCTAACAATAAAACGATGATAACTGCATCTAGTAGATCTAACATTAATAAGAGATTCATAAACAATCATGACTCAAAAACTCCTCCTAATGTCAGTCGTTTGACATCTTTCACTGATACAGATAAAATTCTTCAAAATAGCGACAACTGACAGGGACCAAAGTCTTTCATCATCTCACTGGTGTGATGGATAATTCATTCCCTTTAAATTTTATTTTGTGTTACATTGAATTAATTTACTATTTAAATTTAATCAATAAATCAATCAATGAATGCGTCTTTGGAGAATTCCTTCTTGTAATGATAGACTAAATTTACTGACCGTACATGTGCTTTTACATTTTCTGATACATATAGATCTACATGTTTAATGCTGTGTATAAAGAGCTGATGCTGATCAAAATTGAATTTTAAATTTACTCAAAAGTTTGGCCAAAGACCATGAACTATCGTCACAGTATAGTACAGGGCATTTGGCTAAGAGAGAATTCTAGTTTGCACATGTTGTGGGACAAGTGTTTGTTAGTTATTGTGATTTGTATAATAGTACAGTATAAAATGAATATTATATTTTACTTAGTATTAGCAACAGAATCCTCATAAGTGAATGAGTTCAATTATCCAGAAGTGATAGTCTATTTATGACATGCAGTAATTTCCTGTTGTACTGAAGCCACTCATGTACAGTTGATATATTTGACTGCCAGCTTTATAGTTCAGTATTCTCTCTCTCTCTCTTTCTTTCTGGTGGGTCAAAGATGTATTCATTCTCAAGAGTTATAGGAGCAGTAGCTCTATTCCTGTGTCTTTTATCTGTTGCAGATTCGCGTGAGTTGATTTATTATTAAATTCTGTGCATGCATTCACTCCTGGTTGCTTGCTTGTATTGTTATTGTAATCTTATCCTAATTCTTTTATGATAATGATATTAGCATGCCATGTTTCTAATTAGTAAGATACTAGCTTTGTGTTAAAAAACAGAATTTGAATTATTGCAAATTTGTATGCACGTACATACACCATCTGCATACATATGGTATATTTCATTGCATTCTTTACCAAACAATATCTACTCAGTTTATCATTTTCATTCTTCAAACAGTTTATGATATCATGCATAGCTTACCTATGATGTAGATCTATTCCTCTACAAGGTCATATAGTGCATGACAGTTATGGTGTAAACTGAAAGTAGTTGGCAATTACAATGTCCGTCTGTCAGGTTGTTTCCTCCATTCAATGTTGTCATATTAACAATCAGTTTAATGCTTTTAAATTCATATGCATGGTTTCATTTCATTTTTTGTCATGTTTATTTTGTCTGTGACCAATTACTATTAAATTTTACAGCTCATCATAGCCCAAACAAATGCTGTTGCATGTGTTTGGAAACATTACTATGAGGAGGAAATCTTAATTGATTTATAATATTCAGAGTCCTTATGATAATGAACTTATATAGCAAGATAATGCCCTTGTTTGTGTTGATTGAAATCTTTTCATACTAGTCACATGTAACTTGCATGCTTAAAACTATGTAATAGTATTATGAAATAATTTTATTATTATTATAGAATTCCAGATTACTGATTTGGGTACTGGTGAAGTGATTACAGGTGATACATACAGAATAAATCAAGGATATCAATTTAGATTAATATGCCTTGGTAATATTAATTTGAACCCTATATGGGTTAGAAACCAAACTCAAGGTACAATAATAAATTCTATAGCATCACTTTCAAATCTTTTTCATCAGTTCCGAGTATACTCGATGTTAGTGCATCAAGTGTTACAAATACCAGCGAACTCATTGAAGGTCTCTCTGCAAGTGACTTTAGACAACTGTTCCAATCAAGTACCTCAGTCTCTTCTGTGATTTCAAGTTTTCGAAATGGGTCTAATCTCATACTTCCGAATTCTTCTATTGGTGGGCAATATGCCTGTCAAGCTGCTAACGGCCAGATGCAAAACCTTACTATCATTGTCTCAAGTATGTGCTATTTATGCATGTGCAGATTTTTGTTAGTAGATTGTCAAGTTGCTCAAAAATTGTGCTAAAGGGTGTTTTGACAAAAATGCCCAGGGGAAAATTCTCCATTTATATATATTTTTTGATACATATACACATTTTTATGTTGTGTATCAAGTATCAACTTTGAGCTGATTCCAATTAAATTTGTTTGTCATGAATTTTTAAAGCTGTTCAAAAATGGGCCCAATGACCAAAGGCTAATTATAGCCTTTGGTCTCAGGCCAAATCTTGTCAAAAATGCCCAGGAGAAAATTCTCCATTTTTATAATTTTTCTGATACATATATACATTTTCATGTTTTTTATTCAATTTAAGCTGATTCCAATCAAAAATGGATTTTTTATGAATTTTTAAATTTACTCAAAAATTGTACCAACAATCAAAGGCTATAGCCTGCCAAATTTTTGAGCAACTTAAAAAATTATAAACCAAGCTTTTGCTTTTCTCATACAATATGATTCTTTTTAATTTAACGTTTTGTTTTAGCTCCTAGTGGATCTTTTTCTGAGTTTTATGTAAGGATGACTGGTTTAATTTCTAGTGCAAGCTCTGTGAATGATAAGGATTTTGATTTAGCAGTCTTTGAGTCAAGAGTAAGAACCTTTGTTATGCACACATTTTTAGCTAATGCTTTTAGTGCAATGTTAAGAGGTACAGATATAGTTTGAAAGGGAAAGGTTCATTCATTCAATAAAATTATTTAAGATAGTGCATGTGCAATATAATAACTAATGAAAGCGAAACTACATATTGAAACGCTGTTATGTATTCCTTCATATTTTCCTTATAGCTATCTGTTAGTGCTGTTATTGCTGGTTTAAATGCATCAGATGATCCAATAAGGACTATATCTTGTTCCTTTGTTCCACTGTAAGAAATAACCTATAGCTCTCATTCATATAACAATACATTATACATATTGGTAATCAGTCATTGGATCGTATTGAGTGTAATGTGAGAGAGTATCCACCAAATGAGCAGTTGATATTGAATGTTTCACAAAGTATTTTTGAAACTGTTAACCAGTTAGTTTCTGAAGATTTTCAACAGCTTAACATTTCAGGTACACATGAGTAGTTCACACAATTATTGTAGTTAGATCTAATTCAAATATTAATTGTGTACTTTTTAGAATTTAGGTTCTGTAATGAGAGCTACACTACATCATCAGTGTATGGTAATCATACCTGGCCTGAGACAGCCTTGACTAGTACCAGTGGTTCTTCTGTTTCACTATCTTGTAACTTTCGTTCTGGTTTTGTCACTCGAATTTGTCGTGTTACTGGTTGGGATGCTCCTGACTACAGTCAGTGTGGAGCATGTAAGTTTAATAAAATTTAATGAGTAGCTGATTGCATGGATTAGCCCCAATGCTGTATTTTTTAATTACATCATATACATGAAATTGAAATAGATTTATTCCATTTTGTTATGCTTATATAGTTTATGTGGAAGGAGACACTTTATTTTGCTAAAACCCAATTTGGTGTTTGCACTAATGTGTGCATTCCTCATGCAAATTTGTTCTTATTTTTGATGAGAAAAATCATTCTTGCATCTTTATAATAGCTTCAATTCCAATAACACTCTCAATTTTTGATGTATTAAATGGCGATGTACTTGTCAGAGAATCTTATGCAATAAATCAAGGATATGCCTTTGCATTGATATGTGGAAGCCCAATAGGAGAAGAGTTCAAGTGGTTTGATTCAAATGGAAATGAAGGTAAAGAATTTCTATACATGTGCTTACAATATGATGCTGAGGAGAAATAAATTTTAAAATGACAATATCATTCTATAGTTCAAAATTTAACCAAGTTCATGAACTCAAGTTTCACATCAACCAATGATGGAAGAAGACTCCTTAATGAAGGAGTCTCCATTTCTGACTTCAAAGGACTCTATTCACATAGAAACATTGATATGGAACTTAACTTAGTAGATGTAACATATTTATTCAGTTACATTGATTTTTACGGGGACGGTGATTTTATACTACCTGGTACAGCAAATATCTCTGGAACATACACATGCAGATCTTCATCTGGGAATTATTCTCAAACAATTTCAGTCAATACTAGAAGTATGCAGTCTAATTTGACCTTTAGAATAATTACTATCAATGATTCTATTTCAGATCCCAGTGGCTTGTTTTCTCGATTCTTCTTCAGGTTCACTGCTTTCTTTGCTAATATAAGTCAAACAGTTGTTGATGATAAAGACTATGAACTTGTAGTTCTTGAAGCAAATGTATGCATGAACATTTTTTTAGGCAGCATAATTATACATGTAATTTATGTACTTCTACTTTTCCACTAGATATTTTATGGTGGTGTTGTTGATGGTTTCAATTCAACAATAAATCCGATTAGGACGATATCTTGTCACTTTGTTCCACTGTAAGTTGATTGCATTAATAGAGTAGAATAGTTACAGTAACTGATGTAGAATGGAGGAGGATGGCACTGGTGATCGTGTGGAGTGTGATGTGAGGGAGTATCCACCAAACAGTTCATTTGTGGA